AACACCTTATCCAACACTCAGTTCAAATCGTTAAATTATAAAAATAGGTGAATCTGAGCTTACAGATTGAGGAATTTGGAGTGGCAAATGAGGGAATTACCATGCATACTACAAAGAAGACCTAATATAATCGATATAGCACAATTGAAATTTGGATCTGAATAGCAAATTTAGATCCTATGCTACTAATTACTCCCAAATTTAAAAACAGAAAGCATTATAAACACAGTTCTACCAATTTCAGAAACCGTTCTATCAATTCCACATCCACCACCAGCTACCCTTTCCCCTACGCTTTCAACTTGCAATTCCGCCTCCACCACCATCTACCCTTCCCCCTACGAATTAACTGCCCCAACTGTTATCCAACCTACCTCAATTTTCGCACCAATCGAATAACAAAAGAGAGGGAAAATCGGACCCAACAACTTAGAAATGGAATAGAAAGCAAATAACCTAAGATTATCATAAGCAAAGAATCAAAACCTTGATTTGAAGATGCGAAATCTTGATTCAAACTGCCCATCGTGACACCCGTTTGATTCTGTTAAACCAGATCAAACAACCCTTGCTTTGAAGATCCCGTATAGAACCCGTCGTCCCCGTCCAACGCGATCCGTTGTCGATTTTTGGTTGTGGGTTTGTGAAAATGGGTCGATTTACAGGGAGAATGAGAAAGTTCAGAGAGAGGAAGAGAACTATGGGTTTGTTTCGCGAGTTCAGAGAGAGGGAGAGAGTTGTGGGTTTGTTTCGCGTGTTTTCTGATATGGGTAGAGAACATGGCCTTATTTTACAAAACGATGTTTTCCTCGTTTTTAGTTTTCAGTTGGTTTTTTTTTTTTTTAATTTACAAAAACGCGTTTCCGAAAATAAGATAGAGAATGCATTGTTCCTGTTTTGAAAAATTAAAAACAGAAAACGATTGGAAAATGACAAAGATAACATGGCCTAACCTTTTTATTTGGATTTAGTACTCTAGGCCCAACAATATTGGGTTGTGTAGGGCCTGCTTATTCGAGCATCCTTCTAAGGCCCAACAGGATTTCTTTCCTTTTTAACTGATCGTTTCTATGCGTTCCTGAAACAGAGTTTCTGGTTGGCTCACGGCGGATTTGGGCGCCGATGGCAATGGAAGGAAAGGCTGAGTTCGATAGTTCAGAGATAGAGTATGTGAGCTATAACGGGGAGCATCACCTGCCATTGATTATGAATCTGGTTGACCAGGAGCTGAGTGAACCCTATTCCATTTTCACTTATCGCTACTTTGTCTATCTATGGCCCCAACTCTCTTTCCTAGTCAGTAACTCCTCTACTGATATCATTATTGTTTTTATTCTCTCTTGATTCTTCGTTACTGATTGAAGAGTTTGTGAATAATGTTGAATTATCGTATAATATGTGCATATGATGAAGGCATTTCACAAGGGAAAATGCGTAGGTACTGTAGTGTGCAAGATGGGAGATCATCGAAATACTTTCAGAGGTTACATCGCTATGCTTGTCGTTCTGAATTCTTACAGAGGCAGAGGTATTGGTGAGTCTCTTATCCTTAACCCTTCCGATTTTTCTATTCACTGGAATTTATGTAATGATTCTTGTTGGAAATCTCCAGTTTTGATTGTCATAATTCTTCTTCAGTAAGTTATAAGTCTAATGGATTCTCCCGAATACAACCTAATAACTTACAGAGGCAGAGGTATCTCTACGTGTGCGCGTTCTCTCGCAAAAGAAGCTGGCTTATTTCTGCTGCATCACTATTGTACTGCCGAAATAAGCCAAAAGAAGCCATATTTTGGTATCTGTGCGTCTTTCAAGACAAGGCAAACATGCCTTTAATCGGACATTATTCGTTCAAAATCCTATTTTATCTCTTCCCCTCTGTAGACAGCAACCCGGATCGTGGTCATAACTTTCCAGTTGTCTCTTTATTTTTAAAAATTACAAGGTTTTGCGGCTTACTTATAGTTAGGTGCCTCAACACTATATATTGGTCATATAGATAGATAATAGGCATCTGTTTACTATACTATGCACTTGTTAGGAATAATTTTGAGTCAACTACAATGGAGTTATGTCTATTTTTCCTAAGAACTGTCGGTGAAATTCATTTGTAGTTCTTTCCATTTTATAGAAAGTACTTGAAGAGTTAGATGTTCTTTTTTTCTCTTTTCAGCTACAGAACTTGTTACCAGATCAATTAAAGTGATGATGGAATCAGGTTGTGAAGAGGTACGTCATTGAAACTGCTGCACTGGGTTTTGGGATTGTTGCTAGGTGTTTATTACTTGATCCGAGCATTTTAGATTGCTTCACATTTACTTTATGTTAACAACCAATGGGAATTATATGGAAACCCAGGGAAAACCTTGAAAGTGTTAATTTCAGACAAAAAATTTAACTAGTAGGCAGTTGCCAAGGACTCTGCTTAGGCCATTTGTTTCATAGAACTAGGGAATGCATGTGCCCATGACAGCTCATGAGCTGCTCTTCCGTATTGGAATCAATGCTAATCGAGTACTCTTCCAAATTAGAATAGGATCCACAAAATACAATTCATATGAAATCTGGTTGGCATTTTTCTATATTTATTTATTTATTTATATTTTTCTCTTCTAAAGCTTAATACGTTGTTATGTTCCTTTCTCTTTAGCTCGAGAATAATGCAAAACTGTTATTTTATTACTCAAGCTTGAAGTTCTATTATTTTGTCACCAATATTGGCTAGAGCCTAGACACTTCAATCTCCTTAACACTTCAATCTGCTTAGGAATGCAATAACTATGCTGGTTTAGAATTAACATTGTAGCTAACAAAATGCCCGGCGATGGGATATGGCAAGTTTCCGATAAAGAGTTAATCAATCCATACAAAATTTTCCAGAGTGGAAAGTGTTTTCTGCAGGATTGTATCTCTTATTTTTTCTAGAAATATGAAGAAAGGATAGATATAAAAGGCAATATCTTTAGCTCATTTGGTAGGATAGCCACTTGTGTTTCCTTCTACCATTTTACAAGGGACATATCCATTCAGTTATTCTCTTGTTGTGTCATGTTTGCTCCGAATGGGGAAGAAAGAAATTGTAGAGTTGAGAAGAGGTTGCATTTACTTGCGTCACACTTTTGCATGGTGTCCTGTGTATATACATGAACATAATTGTAATCAGCTGTTTCTGGTTTTTTTTTTTTTTAAATCTCCACATCAATCCATATAGGGAGTTAATGGCTTTGTGTTTTTCTGCCTGTTCTCTTAAAGGTAACTCTAGAAGCAGAAGTTACAAATAAAGGAGCCCTTGCATTATACAGCCGTCTTGGATTTATCAGAGCGAAGAGGCTTTTCCGGTATTATTTGAATGGAGTAGATGCTTTTCGACTAAAGTTGCTATTTCCTCGCCTGGAACCAGACTTCCCAACAGGGAATGAGAGCCATAGGCTTGCTGATGGCATACAGCCTGAAGAAAATTCTGTGCTCCAAAACAGCTTGTAACAAGATATTTCTATGTTCTACAGCTAGATATTCACTGTAGTTGTGTTATATAGCTGATACATTTTGTCTCATGTCATAAGAAATTTATTCAAGCAAGCCTAAATTTCACAAATGGGGTCACTTTGCTACCGGAACTTTTGAGTGATACAAACTATTGAACAATTTTTTGTTTGTTTATTTATTTTTTCCTTATTATTAAACAATGCTATGAAATCATGCACTAAAAGGTAGTATCATTCTATATATTTGTTAGCATTTTAATGGTGTTGGGCATTAAATCCTTACCTGCCATTTTTTTTTTTGGAAGTTATTCTGGCAACGTCAATAGCTGAGCAGCTTGACCAAAGGCTGCATTGTAATACAAATGGGGAACGTGGTAATTGCACAACGACGTGGGATTGTCAACTTGGTGCATCTCAGTTTTAATAGTTACTCAAGGAATTAAATAAATTCTTTAATTTTAAGCTTCTGAAGAAAGTTAATGAGCGAAACTCAAATGGGCATCAAGTAGGTGAAAGAAATGCTATCTGGTGCAGTTCAATTTTACTAGGAGAAGACTAATTCCCAAATGATACAGACTGATGTATGTGTGCTTGTTTTGTTATTTCTATTTTTGATTGGGGAAAGGGATAAATATGGAGTCGGGTTATTGAAGATTGCTGCCAATAATAAAAGGGGGAATGGGTAGTCTGATTTCATTACCTCTCGAAAGTAGAACATTTCATTATACCCATTTCAATTTCAAATCCTTGTAATTTCTGAAAGGAACCTCTTTTCATTCAGTTGACAAATATATATAAGCACAAAAATACAATATACATTCTTCAACTGCTGAGTTGAGATTAATTATACAGGAAACAAGGTAACCAAGCGGAGACATAATGCTGGAAATTGGTTTGACCAATATTTGACCTATTATTTGAGTGAGTCCTTGTGGTCGAATGTAAGATTGCTTTGGCCAAGTGTGTTCTATTTTTGCTATAAAATTAACGTAGTTTATTTATTCTTTTTAAAATTAATTTCGGATGAATAAGAAATAAAATCAAAAGATGCCACTTGAAATTAAAATAAATTGAGGATAAAATTGGTGGAAAATTGAAAGTGTCCAATCCACGGAAGAAACTAGAGGATAAAAAGTTATTTTAGACAATCATGCTACATGTGCATTAAATTTGACAGTTTCTTTGATATCATGTGAGTTGACAGATTTTTATACATCGATTTTAACAATACTTTTTCAATCAATTGTCAGAATTTCTACACATAGGCAGACTGTCAAAACTGCTATCATCAAGGAGTGTACGAGAGGCATAATTGTATTTTATATAGGTCAAGGTTGACATATGTTTGATCCCCTGAATACCAAGCACAAGTCTTAGGCCTAGGCTTGGAGTAGGTTGATATTTTTTTGTAAAATAATATTTTAGTTATATTATTGTAATATTAAATTAAATAATCCCGAATTTCTTGTGTGTGACACATGTTAGCTTCTAGAAGGTGCCGATCAAACCGTTTGAGTAGACAACTTTTTAACTTTTATAAACTGACTCCAATATCTTGGATTTTATTCATTCGAAAATATTTTTCTGCAAATAATATTTTTTTCTCTCCTACACTATTCTATATTTTTCATTTCAGTCCTGAATGTTATTAATTGCATATTTTAGTCCTATTTCAATTTAGAGAGTTCAAAACATTAGTAGATTCATTAGGACTTGTAATTTGGAATGTTATTATTAATAATCGAGGTCTTTGTATCTTGTTAGTGAGTGTCAAGAAACCGTCAGTACGAGCATAAGACATCATTATCTTAAGGAGAAAGAGTTGAATTCTTACATCGATTATATTAATTTCTATTTTATCTTCTTTCGTATGTAAGTCGAAACCCTGTCCAAATTTTTCACTAGAAGGTTATTTTCAATATATTTTATGCATGGTAAATTTGTTATATTACATTTTTCTAGCCATCTTAAGAAGATAACTATTATATACATGCTAATTTATTTTCTGAAAATCTTGTTAGATCACAACATGCAATCTATATTTGTCGAACCCATTAGCAATACTCAAGGGGAGAAGCCTGAAAAATTCACAGGAGTGGATTTTAAGAGATGGAAAAAAAATATGTTATTGTATCTTTCTACTCTGAATTTGGTAAAATTCTAAAGTGAATATGTTTCAACTATTGATAAAGATGAAACAAATCCTCAAATAAGAGCAGCGTTTGATGCTTGCAGTCATAGTGATTTTCTATGTAGAGACTATATCCTTAACTACATTGATATATAGTATATACAGTTCGGTCAAGACATCTAAATTCTTTTGGGAATCCTTGGAAAAGAAGTACAAAAAGGATGATGTTGGTTTAAAGATATTTGTAGTTGGCAAATTCTTAGATTTCAAAATGGTGGATTCTAAAATAGTAATAAATCCAGTTCAAGAGCTACATATTATCCTACATAAGATACATGCAGAAGAGATGAAGCTCGTACATTGTTGCAAGAATCAAGAAACTACCACTAAAGTGGAAGGATTTCAAAAACTACCTGAAATACAAGCTCACGGAAAGGAGACTTAAAGATCTTATTGTAGGATTTAGAATACAAAGACAATTGAAATTCTAGAAACAAAATCTGGGAAGTTGGAAATGGATGATAAAGTCAATTTCGTGGAATCAAATATTTACAACAAAAGAAAGCACTTTGGTTATGACAGGTCATATCAACAGAAAAACATAATAAAAACGACCAAGTGCACTTAACTAAGAAAGACAAATTGTCTAATGACTTGTCCAAAAGGATGCTCTCAGATGTAGTATTTGATGCAAACATGGTGGATAATCCGAGAGAATGGTCCATAAATACTGGCGCTACTCATCACATTTGTGTTGATAAGGAGACTTTTTCATCTTATACTCCTATCAAGCGATAACAATTGTTCATGAATGACTTAGCAAATCAAAAGTTGTTGATTTGGGTAAAGTAGTGTTAAAGATGACATCAGGTAAAGAAGTAACCATGACTCATGTGTTGCATGTTCCAGACATTCGCAAGAATTTGGTATCTGAAGCTTTACTGAGCAAAAATAGGTTTTAGCTAGTGTTTGAGTCTAATATGTTGTACTTACCAAAAATGGCATGTATGTGGGCAATGATACTTAATCAATGGGCTATTCAAAATGAATGTAATGGCCGTACTTCTTGATTTTGATAATAATAAAATAAATCTTCTACTTACTTGATTGGGTTCTCTAATTATGGCATGATAGATTATGACATGTTAATACTTTACGAAAAATAGGTATTTTGAATTTATTGCCTTTTGTTTCATTTAATTAACATTATCAGTGTGAAACTTGAGTAGAGGCTAAGTTAGCCAACATACCATTTTATTCGGTTGAAGAAACCCAAATCCTCCAGAATTATGTTACATTGATATTCATGATTTAAAGTTTGTGAAAACTAGATGTGATAAAAAGTACTTTTTTACTTTTATAGACAACTATACAAGATACTGTTATGTCTATTTGCTAAAAATTAAAGACACCTCCTTAGAAGTATTTAATAATATACAAGAATGAAGTTGAGAATTAACTTAACGAATGAAAATAAAAGTTATTTGTAGTGATAGATGCAGAAATTATGAAGCACTGAAATTATTCACCAAAATACAGCTCCTTATTTACATCAATATTCATTAGATAAGCTAATAATTGTAGTAAATATCGGTTCCTCGTATATAAATCAGACATTCCGGATGTAAATGAGAATACCATCATTGAATCTAGGAATGATGCATTTTTTTGAGGACATTTATCTTCTTAAGGACATGAGAGAGATGAGTTCACAAATACAAACATATAATACTGCAATTGGTAATTATTAACGTGATGAAGACCAAGACGTAGTAAGAGGACCAAAATAGCTACATCTTTTGGTCCAGACTTTTTTATATTATTCGTTAGAAAATGAACCTAGGAAACATTCAATGAAGCAATGTTAAGTTCAAAAGGCACGTTTTGAAAAGAGGCTATCAATAATTAAATTGATTACATTATGCAAAGTCATACTTGGGATTTGTTATATCTCCGACATGGAAATAGACCATTTGATGTGAACCTTTAAAAAATGAACCTTGGAACCCAGAATAAGATTTGATATACGGTGCCCAAGAAAGCTAAAATTAGATCGAAAAACCTTAACCCAGCAATTTCTTGAATAGTGATAGCTACTTTTAAGATCTTTCTTATTGTAAATACATGACCAATGCAATTCATCAAGTGTATAATTTAATTAAGTTATGGAATGATGATATTTTATCGTTATGTTGTTGACTATCTTGCTATCAGCGCACATTCTTCATGTCTCATCCTTTTTAGGCACAAGGAATACCATCACTGCACATGAACTTGATTACGTCCAAATAATGATGCGGTAGTTGTAGCACAACTTTGGGGAGTCGATTCCACATGAAGATGGTTGAAATGCTTAAAGAATCTGAACGATGATTGTTCTCTTGAATGTGTAGTAAAATTTATTGCTTGAGTGAGATTAAAATCAATGTTTGGGAGATAGTGAAGCATCAAAATTTCCTCAATTGGATTGGATCAATCACATCAATAATTGATTCTATTTACTTAATTAGAGATGTTTTACCTCACTCTCTAACTAGAAGAAATAACATTAAAAATCAATTTAGTTTAATTGTAATCCTAGAATGTATATTTCCTATAACACTTACGCCGTTTTTATTGGAATAAGAATCGAAAAAAACCATATACACCTAGCATAAAGTATTAATCAATCTACCAATAAAATAAATGAAATTAACACTCAACAAATAGCTCAATTCTTCGATAGACAAAGCATGACTGAATTTATGAAAAGTTTAATAAAAGCTAAGCCAATCTCAAAATAAACTTATGAAAAGAATGTCTAAACCTAGGATTATTCAGCATAGAAGGACCAAATTACATAAATAACTGATGTAAAAACACCAAAT